ATCTATCTATCTATCTATCTATCTATCTATCTATCTATCTATCTATCCATAGAGAGAAAAAGAGAGACATATAGATATCAAGAGGCTCATCCATTCTAAGACTTTGGTAGTTAGTTGCTTAGCAACAGTTTCTCTACCATTCATGACCACAGTTCTCCCTTTCTTCTTGTGTAAACATATGTTTATCAATCCTTGTAAGAAAACTTGGTTTTAATAAACCCAGTAACAAGCGTAAATAATAGTACTCATGCAGGTAATTAGCACAAACAAATGGCATACTTACAATTGCATTTCTTCTGCACAAATCTCAGCTTGCATGCTGTTCTGTAGGTGGAGAGTCGGATGCGATCCAGATCTTGAGCCCCTAGTTGGAGGAAGAGTATACATATGGGATGCCATGTGTGTGAATAAGAGCATGTAATGTTTGTAAATAAAACAATTGCACATATACTCCGTATGTGTACTGGTGCTTTTATTGGGATATAAATGTTCATTTAAGGCTCAGAAAGGTCTACCCAATATTCAACTTCTCAGGGACGAAGGCTGTGGCATCCAATCAGACTACCAACCATGATCATGGACCTCGGAACACAACCTCTCCCTGCTGTGTCTGCCACTTCCTAGAATGATCTATTCAAGCTGTGACTGGGATACCAGGAAGATCATATCAGAAATAATCGCTGAATAAATAATAACCATGGTCATTTGAACATAGCTGTTAGGTGACTCCATCTTGGATATTAAGTATTTTCTCTGTGTGACCTTCAACGGAGTGCTTCCTCAGCATTCCCATTTGCAAGGCCAGGATAATGATACAGTAGCTATTTCACAGGATTGCTAAGCAAATGAGGGTGTACTCCTAATGTTTTCTCCTATTTGTACTAGTGTATAGCTTGAAACCACAGAGGGGAGACTCTTTCTCAATACCAACTTCTCCATTTACTCTCTGGCCCCAGTTTCACTGTAGTTTCACTGAAGGAACATGTCCCCACAGACTGCTGTTCTTATTCTGCTCTTCTATTCAGGGTTCCAGATTGCTCTTGATGCCAAGACACCAGTTCTGAAAACCCTCCACACATAGCTTTACCATCTTACCCACCTAGTAATGTTTCCTAACAACACACCCACGGTCCCGCTAGGCTTAGGATGACTTCTTAGAGCTCACTGAGCTTCTAGTGTCCCCGCTACTCTCCCTCATTGGGCTGATTGCTAGACCATCATCCTGCTGTCCAGTCTTTGTCACACCAACTGGGCCTGAAACTTGTCCTTCTTCTGCCTAACTTGAGAAGCATTTCTTCATGCCCTTAGGCCTTGTCCATTTTTTTCCTGAGCATTTACCTTTAGAACAACTTTTCATTGTTAGTCCTAATTAGGGTCCTTTGAGATGTAAATTTTCAATCACTTGACAATTTTACAGCCTCAGAGTGCCTTTCTAAGGACCTTGGAGGTCAATCCCAGGGAAAGTTGTCCTAAAGAGAGATATTTCTCAGTCTCCCTTCACGTAGAAGAGCTGCCTCCTTCCTGCCTCCTCTTCCTCTTTTTCCTCCTCTTCCTTTTCTTCCTCCTCCTCTTCTACTGTCTTCTCCTCCTTTCTCCCTCTTCTTTTAATTTATTCTTCTCTCATACAATACATTCCAAAGCCTAAATTTTTAATTGGTATCATTAGCAATCAGAAGGCTCAACCACATTGACCAACCTCCTAGTTAAATGAGGTCAGTAGCTCTGTAGCAGCTGCCTTCAGTGCACAAACCCTTCAGGTACAGGAGGTTAATCTCTTGTCCTTCCCACAGTAGTTTAAGAAACCGTTCGTTGTGTGTTTAGCTGATGTGATCATGAGATGAGAGTATTCTTCAACATCTGTAATATTCAGAACAACAAATCTGCCTCCTCTTCAACTTTTCTCTTTTGCTCTTCTTTAAACAAATTATTTCTAGGTAAAACACAATTAACCATACTTATGAATTCCTAGTCCCTTTCCTAGTCCTTGCTTTCTGTATAGACATCACAGATTTCTGGATGAAATCACTTTTCAAATATTGGCTATTTTAACATATTGTTGAGAAGATCTTCTTTGTCTGTGTGACAGTCCACCCATCAACAGCATTTCTTCCCTTTGCATGCAGGCAATTATTTCCCTGCTACTGATGATATGTCTCAGTGATGAGTTAAATATGCTGGTGAAGCCAATGGACTATTAAGGCCAGATACCTTTCATAGGCCTTGGTCTATGTGGGAAGGATGACACCTATGTATTTGGCTTGCTTATTTATACTGATCATTAATCAGTAGAGCTATTTAACAAAGCATTTCGGCAGTCCTGTGGCAGTCTTTGATAAAGGGAAACTTAAAATAGGGCCATAGTTCTCTTACATCTTTTTTGTTTGAAGAAAAATTTTAGGGTTGTTTTCTGTGCCCCACACTCTTGACAGAGTCCCACGCAGGCTAGGTCGGCCTCCCATTCATTAAAAAGCCAATTATGCCTTTGGGCTCCCATTCTGCCTGCCTCCACCTCCCTGGTGCTAACGTTGCAAACGAGTGTCAACATGTCTGGATGCTAGTTGTTCCGTGTGTATGAAGATGCGTGTCAAGCTTTCCTTGAATCTTATAGCTTTAATTTAGTAGACAGGTATAACATTGCCATTTACTTGTGCCAGATATTGCACCAGCTAGGGAAGAAACTGGACACCTAAACTTAGATAAGTGTTGCTAAAATAATTAAATAAGCACACTTTTGTAGTTGTCACACTGTTCCAGCTGATAAATATTTAGTATTTCAAAGGCAAGTTCAAAGATTTTACAGGTTTTCCCTTTTTATAGAAAATATTAATTATCTTCATGTATCTGTCAAGATATTTGCCCATGATGGAGCTTGCTCAGATGCTCAGACAGGTTTTCCCCACCACCAAATACACTGATTGCTCTTTAACATTTTCCCCTTGAATTTTAATTATGCAAAGATATTTTCTTTTAAGGACTTTGTTTTCAATTAAAAAATAATTTTGAACATTTGTGGCATACACTACACTGCTCTGGTCCATGTAGAAAAATTTAATCTAGCTACCTAACCTTTCATGATCTTTGTATGTATTTATTTTTGGTGGGGATAATAACAAATTTCTATTGTATATAGAATATATGAAAGATGCAATATTAACAGCAGTGCAGTGGGTTGAAATTTATTCCTCCGGTCTAACCAAGACCTTGAAAGAACATTACCAGAACATTGTCCTTATGTGCCTATAAGAAGGACACAAATCCAGGGGATCAATGAGTCATTTCCAAAGTAAAGATGGCAGCCTCAAACACAGCAGGTGATGCAGGAAAAGTCTCTGCTGAAACTCTCACAGACACTTAAGATGCTGTAAGCGCAACAGGCAGGCAGCTGTCTGGGCGTGCTCACATCAGCTTTAACTCTCTCCCCTCATTAATTCTAACACTGAGATGGGTGCTACCAGGTGGTTGAGAAATGACTTTGAAATCTCCACCTTACTATCAGGGAACTTTTCTTTTACCTTCTTCCTGCCAATAATATCCCATTTTCAGTATAAATTTTTTTTCTTCACTTTTTCCTCTCTGGGGAAGGAGCTTCCTGGTCACCCCTGAGCACTTTCACTTTTACTCAGGTAGGGAGGATCAAAAGAAAATAAGCAAAACAAAGCACACAAAACAAGAGAACTGAAATATATTTTTTCTTTATAGCATTTAATTTGAGAAGAATGTTTCTCCTTTCTTTCTTCTTCTTCTTATTCTTTCTTTTATGATCAGCTGAACAGGTCATACTAGCACCAGTAATATTGCGGTTAGGCACTTTCATAGACCAACTGGAAATATCATCTGTGTTGGCGGTCCCTTACCTATGTCGCTCACAAACTACTCTTATCTTCCATTATCCTTTGCTTCATTTTTTAAAATGTTTTTTTGTGACTAACTAACTGCTTCCCAAAGGAGGTGAATGACAGCATACAGTGGTACACACTACTTTGGTCCAGTTTGGCCATGATTCCCACTTGGTCCTTCTTTCTCATTTGAATGTATTATGCTATTTCCCAGGGAAGCCGTTCAAAGACGTGTTTTATTATTTTATACTATGGCAGCCCCTTGCTAGTGTGGGCAGGTGAGTGCAGACTTCAGATGCTAGTGGAGTGGACTGAAATCGATTCTGAACAGTGTTGTCAAGGGTGTCTGCGTGTCCGTACATTTTTTTTTTTTAATCCATGAAATATAGAGTGTAGAAGCAAATTATAATAAATCACTGAGTAATTTAGCTCTCACCTAGTGAGAGGCTGAAATGGCCAAATGCATAGTTTATGCAAGAAACTGAGGATTTTTATGGAGACGTCCAAATGCCCTAAGGACCACATGGTTATTTCTGGCTTTTTCATGAATATTCAATGAGCACTGCAGGGAGTTCCTTAAAAGTTCCATACTTACTCATCTCTGCAAACAGCTGTCTTCTTTCTGCCATGGTATTTCCTCTTTTTCCACTATCTTCAATCATTCTGTGGGACAAAATTGTGAGAACCTGTGTAAGTCCCACACTAGGCAGGCAAACAGCCACTTCCCTGTAAGCACATTAAACACACTTGTGCCACGGAGAAAAATCATTTAGATTGATAGATGAGGCACTTGGCCTGTAGGTATGATGACTGGAGTTTTGGAGCCTCAGAACTCAAGTAAAAGCAGCGCAGGGCTGGGCATTGCTCCTTTTCTCATTATGTGGGAAAAAGACACAGGAGATTCCTGGGCCAAGCTCAGGAATCTCAGGACAGAGGAGTTTCACTGGAAGACTTCAGGTTTAACAAGACACCTGCATCAATAAAGAGAGAACAACCAAGAAAGACACTTGATGGTACCTTATAGGCCTCCATATGAATCCCCTAATATATATATATATCATATTATATTATATATATATGCATATAATATATATATATGCATCACACAAAAGCATATCCTTTTTACTTTTAGACATTTATAAATGAAATATTTCATTCACTTAGACTAGTGTGCACATTACTGAACATGCTACTGACATTCCATATGCCATATAGTTATTGACAAGAACATAAGTGTTTTTATTTTCTAACATGCAGGGACTCACAGAGTTGGCCTGGGTTAGCTGCCTTGGGATGCATGTGGCATAGGTTTTTTAGGTTAGAGTCCACGGCTCCCGGGGCACTCTGTGCCTTTCAGTTCCCTGGAAACCAAAGTGTTCCCTCAGGGAGTGAAGCATTTAGGCCACCTGTGTTTTTCTATGTCCCTTGAAGTCAACAAAGCATATAGAAGCTTGGCTGAACAGTTAGTCTGAGCCATTAATCTTGTGTACCCTGTCTAGCTTGCAGCAGTCAGTGCATCCTGGCAACCACCCTTATAATCTATTTTGAGAAGTGTCTAAAAAGTCTGATTGATTGGAATAAACTTGTCTCAGCCTCAGGCCTGATTGACATTCTCTCTGACCATAATCAGGAAACCCTGGCTTGTTAAGTAAGTGCTGGCTGGTGCTTACACCAGCATAGAAATTGCTAAGTATCATATGCTCAAATACACTAACTAAATAGAACCATTGTGGTGATTTAAATGTGAATGGCCCTCATAGGCTCATAGAGCTGAATGGGATGGTGGAACTTTTTGGAAAGGAGTAGGAGAGATGACCTTGCTGGAGGAGATCTATCATGTCACTGCAGATGGGTTTTGAGGTTTCAAAAGCCCATGGCATTCCCAGTTAGCACATTCTCTCTCTTTCTGTCTCTCTCTCTCACTCCTATTTGTGGATCAAATATAAACTTTCAGCTACTGATCTGGTGCCAGGCTCACCTTCTTGCTGCCATTCTCCCAGCCTCATGAGCATGGATTCTCACTCCCTGAAACCATGAGCCCTAATAAATGTTTTCTTTTATAAGTTTCTTTGGTCATGGTGTCTTACCACGGCAACAGAAAAGTAAGTAAGACAGCCACACATTCAGTGGTAGGTTGCTTGCTTCATACAGAGCAGTGATTCTCAACCTGGGTGTGACCCCTTGACAGGGGTCAAACCCCTTTCACAGAGGTCATAGATCAGATATACTTCATGCCATATATTTACATTATGATTCATAACCTTAGCAAAATGACAGCTATGCAGTAGCAGTGAAAATGATCTAATGGTTGGGGGGTCACCACAACATGAGAAACTGTGTTAAAGGGGTGCAGCATTAGAAAGGCTGAGAACCACTGATAAAGTGTATCCCTTACAATTCTGAGAATAACTCTTTAGATTAGAGAGCAAATTCTTGTACTCCATCTTGCTGTGACCCCTCTGACCCGGCCTGACTGACATTCTCTCTGACCATCATCAGGAAACCCTGGCTTCTTAAGTAAGTGCTGGTGCTTATACCAACATAGAAGTTACTAAGTATCATATGATCAAACACTCTAGCTAAACAGAACCCTTGTGGTGATTTAAATGTGAATGGCCCTCATAGGCTCATAGAGGTGAATGGGATGGTGGAACTTTCTGGAAAGGAGTAGGAGAGATGACCTTGTTGGAGGAGGTGTGTCATGTCACTGCAGGGGAGAGCAAACTCCTGTGCAGCAGATGAGGACTCAGGGGCTTTGTGAATGAAAGGTTCAGAACCCCAGAGCCTGAGGCTCCTTCCTGCTGCTTGTTCCATGTTCACCCACAACCTCAGCTTAGAGGCACGGGATTTTATGCTGTGAATTCCTACAAAAAAATTTCCTGCACATAATTACTTCACACAGGTGGATGGGTTCACATCTCTGTCGTCAACCATGCCATCATCTCTTGCAGGCCAATTTTAAAAATGCCATTAAAATACAAACAACTAAAACAAAGAACAACAAATTGGGCTCAAAGAAGAAGATCATGAGAATATTAATAGAAATGCTACTTAGTAACACGGATGGCTTTAGAATAAATATTGTGTCTATTAGTTAATGAGCTTGATTTTTTATTATATCTGGTTAAACGAAAAACAACAACATCATCAACAACAACAATTTCTCTGGCATGAACTCAGTGGCAGGCTCTCTGATCATCTTCTCCTGGTGGGGGTGCAGCCTTGCCAGGCCACAGAGGAAGACAATGCAGCCAGTCCTGAAAAGACCTGGTAGGCTAGGGTCAGATGGAGGGGGAAGAGGACCTCCAATACCAGTGGACTAGGGGAGGGGTATGAGAGGAGAAGAGGGAGGGATTGGGAGGAGACAAGGGAGGGGACCACAGCCAGGATATAAATTGAATAAACTGTAATAAATGATAATAAAAAAAGTTTAATTCCCACACACGCACCAACCAACAACGAACTCAGGGTCTTTCATATGCTGCACAAAGTGCTCTACCCTTGAGCTACCGTCTCAGATATTTTACACTGTTTTGAAGTAGAGTCTTGCTAAGTTTCCCAGGGTGGTCTTCATTTCACCATATCTCGGCTTCCTAAGTATCTGGGACCACAGGTTGTGTATCTCCATGCCTGGCTTTATAAAATTCAACCATTAGAAGCCATCCACGTGCATGTGTATGTACCCATCACGCCTTCCATTTTGATTCTCAAGCATCGCAAACATACGGCATGCCTGCATAGATCTTTGGCTTTTCTTTGGATGGGTCCTCTTCGTTCTGAAAGAGTGTGTCCGTGTTTCTCTAACTGGTAGCCATTCACAGGCCTATGTGTAGCTGTGTCTTACTCTGAAATCTCCCCCAACTCTATGATGGCCTCGGTTCTGAGCTTCTGCAGTGTGCATGGAGCCTTCCTCTTGATAATGTGTATCTGTTCCACAGAGCTTGGTCCAGGACCATCTGTCCTCCGGGAAGTGTACTGGGCCCTGTATGAAACTTAGGAGCAGAATCACAGCTCCTCCTTGAAGATTGCTGACTATATAGCGAAAGAGGAACATGAACATAAAAGCAGGCATAGCTGACGTACAGTGAGTGATCGGGAGAAAACCCTTCCTTTCTGATTCACATCCACATCTTCTGCACTGTAGAGGAAGTGGTTAGATAACACCTGACTTCCACAAAGTCATCTGGATATAGCTTCCAGTTTTGATTTCCAGGGCTCAGAAATAGCAGGGAAGCAGGGGGAGAGCCAGGGAACAGAGCCAGTGGTGCGTTCCTGTATCTGTGTGCTGGGGCAGGATGGAAAGAACCGTCAGAATAAACATGAAGGAATGCAGGCTGGGGACTGACTGAGAATATCTGTGAGGTTAAGAGTGGCATCTGAGGTCATCGTCCTGACGGGCCTGACAACTCACATGCACTGAAATGTCTCATTTCCAAGCATTTCTGAAGGTAGTTGTGGGGAGCGACCTCATTCACTTAAGATTTTCCCCGAAGAATAAAAAGTTACTATTTATTGAAGAAATGAATGAACAGGGCATGCAATCAAGTAGGAGGAGATGTGAAAAAAAAAAAAAACCAATAGCGAAATTTTCTTTCCATAAAATAGACTTTTAAATTATACTTCCATAATATGACACAGAAAAATAAAATTCCCACTTTCCTCATTTCAGATGTTCATTATTTGAAAAATGAAAAAAAAAACATATTTATGTTTATTAAAATCCAGGACTATAAACTTTTAAACAAAATCATGTCTCGTAAGGTAGAAGTTGAAACATTGCAACTTTGTGAGTGTCAACTTTTTGTTTGTTTATCAGCACTTATGTTATTAATTTTGTTGTTATTAATTTACTCATGAAAGAACCATAAGCTACACAATAATTATTAATTTCCACTTCGGAGTAAAGTGTGTATTTCATGAGGGAAAGTTTACTGGTGTTAAATCTTAGAAGGCATCGAAAACACAGTACTAGACTAAAAAGAAAATGGTCACTCCTCACTATCTCCAGAGTGCCTGGGAAACACTGATGCTGGATAGAAGTGATTATCTTCACTTTCTAAAGTCTTGGCAGCGAAAGAAAGAATGGACATGCTGGCTAGCTTTCCTCACAAACTGATTCAGTGGGCGTTGCATGGATTCTCTCTCTCTCTTTCTTTCTCTCTCTCTCTCTCACACACACACATACAAAGAGAGAGCAAGAGACTGAGAGCGAGAGAAAGAGAGAGAGCAAAAGTGAGTGAGAGAGAGAGAGAGAGTCTGCCTAAGTCACTCTCCACATCATCCTTTGAGACAGGCTCCTTCAGTGAACCTGGAACCAGCTGATGGGTCTAGAATGATGGCCAGTGAGCTCTGGAGATTCCTATCTCAGCCTTCCCTGTGCCACCACCATGCCCAGCCATTTTACATTAGTACAGGGGATCTCCGTTTAGGTCTCCACACAGCAAGTTCTTTACTGGCTGAGACATCTCCCCAACCCCCATGGGGGAAGCTCTTGAAATGTGTTCAAGAATCAGACAGCTGAGCACCGAGCCCATTGTGGACCCTGTGGCTTCCAATCTAACTCATCAGTGAAGCTGATATCTTGATGTTCCACCACATATTGTCGCCTTTGAGACAGAGGGCCCTTGATGGAAGACATGCTGGGAGCTTCTGCTGGCGTGCAC